TCTAATGATCTAAATCTTTATAAATTAGATATTTTATTTTATATCTTAATTTTAAATTAAATCTTTATAAATTAGATATAAATAGAAAAACAAGCATATAATAACACAATTACATCTTAAACCAAAATTCAATCATGCAAGGCAAATTATTAAAATTTTTGAAAAGAAAACTATTTTTCAAAGAGCCAAAGCATTAACAATACTATAGATAAATTTTATTTATAACAAAATGTTGTCATGGCTTTTATCCCAATTATTAAAAGCATTTGAAAGTATGAAACTACCCATAAATATCTTTTAATGGTAGACACTATCTAAGAATTATAGTAATCTTTATTTTCAAAATTCACATGTATAACACGAAGCTTTAAATTTAAAAGTACAATTTAAAAAAGATTAAAATAAACTAATTACTTATAAAATTTTAAAAAGATTTTATAAATACTCAATGTCTACTTAGAAATTTTGAAAAGATTGCGATTTTGAAAACTTGAAACTTTAAATTTAAATTTTAAAAAACTGAAACTTTAATTCTACCTCAAAGAAAACAGATATATATTGAAAAGTATTTTTATTTCTTTTTAAAAATTTAAAAATGCTTTTAAACTTACTCCCTCCAATATAATTATATAATATATATAGTATATATGATAAATAAACCTCCACAGTTTTCTTGGTTTAACAACTCGATTATGATTAATAACAGCTCTGTAAACATGAATTTTCTAATAACCTAAATAAATTACAGATAGACAAACATAAATAACACAACTAAATCCTAAACCAAAATTCATTCATGCAAGACAAATTATTTTATATTTGTTGAGGAGCCAGAAACATATTTTTTTTCAAAGAGCAAAAGTATTAATAATATTAAAGATAAATTTTATTTATATCAAAATTTTCAATAAAAATTAAATTAAGATAAATTTATAACAAAATGTTGTCATGGCTTTTATCCCAATAGCCAAAACTATGTGAAAGCATGAAACTACCCATAAATATATTTTAACGCTAGACACAATCTAAGAATTAAAGTAATCTATAACACGAAGCTTTAAATTTAAAATTACAATTTAAAAAAGATTACAATAAATTAATTACTTTTAAATTTAAAAAAAATTTTAGATTACCTATAATTTTAAGCTAATAAACATTATCTACTAAATGTCAACTTGGACATTTTGAACTCGTACCATGAAAGGTTGAAAGGAAATCTTTATGAAAGCACGCGGTAAAGAAAAGTCTAGAATCTACTTAAAAAGTGTATTTTACAAATACAGAGCCGTACCGTAACTATAAAACAATACGCGTAACTATGCGCACTATTCATTAGAGTATTAACATTTAGATTAACACTCGTTCACAATGTCAATTAATGATTGCAAAATAAGCAACTCAATCGTTTGACAATAAAATTTTCTTTCATTTAAAATACAAAACAAATATATTTTACTAATAAATAGCAATCGTTTTCATGTTTTCTTGCGTATCAATACATTCAAACATTTAAATCAATACATTTAAACATTTAAATGTATTTACGAAACATTTAAAAATTGTTTATAGTTCTATCGTAAATTTTAAAGTATTACTGACTGATAAAAGTCATTGATAAACAAGTTTTACATTAAAAGTTTTTTTTATTTTCTTTAAACATTCTTTTTCTTTTTGATTTGATTTTTCTGATTATGTTGATTTTTCATAGCTAAAACAACTACCACCCTAGAAAAATAAATAAATAAAATATAGGTAAACTTTTTTTAATTTTAAAGCACAAACTGATTTCTGTTATTTACTTTAAGGTTGCTTGCATTTTTGCGGTATTTTCGTTTAGCTATGTTTTGGCGCAAATTCTTGAAACGCATAATAATAAAACGTGGTCAGTTAGTCAGAAAAAATTATTCTATGCGTGGACAAACAAGGCGTGCGACCGCACGCCTTTCCTGGAAAAGCCTGTATATATATATATATATATATATATATATATATATATATATATATATATATATATATATATATATATATTTAAACAATTTAAAATGTATTCTACAAAAAGAGTGCTCAATGTGCTTAAAAGAACAAAGCAACTACAAATTAAATATATATATATATATATATATATATATATATATACATATATATATATATATATATATATATATATATATATATATATATATATATATATATATATATTATATATATATATATATATATATATATATATATATATATATATATGTATATATATATATATATATTTAATTTGTAGTTGCTTTGTTCTTTTAAGCACATTGAGCACTCTTTTTGTAGAATACATTTTAAATTGTTTAAACATATATATATATATATATATATATATATATATATATATATATATATATATATATATATATATATATATATATATATATATATATATATATATATATATATATATAGTAAACTACTGGTTATTCGAACTGGCACTTAATCAAATTTTTATTCATTGTGAAGTATTTTTAATAAACTCGTGCAAATGCCCATCAGTTATTTGAACCTGCAGTTATTGGAAGCAATGTTTTTCTCCCCTTGACGACAAACAAAACACATTTAAAGAAAGAAAAAAAAAATGAAAAATAGAAAACTTTTTCAATTAGTTGTAAAACATTTATTGTTTTATAAGGAAAAAATTAGGGAAGCATTTTATTCCAAAGGTTTTTTTTTTACTATCAACTTTTATAAAGATTTGAAAGTAACTTGAAATAGATCACTTCTAAAGATCATTTTTAGTTATTCAAACTTTCGGTAATTCGAACTAAATTCTTATACCCCAAAAAGGTTCAAATAACCCAGAGTTTACTGTATATGTATATATATATATATATATATATATATATATATATATATATATATATATATATATATATATATATATATATATATATATATATATATATATAAATTTTACTACTAAAAATAGTCATGTATCCATACATTAATTATCTAAACAAAACTTACTTCAATAGGTGTAACTATAAATTATAAATTTAAATCATATGTATTTTGTTTATAAAATCAAAACCAGTTAAAACCATATCAATCCTCGATCATTGATCCACCAAAACTTTACTAAAAAAATATACACCGGTAATCAAACTACCACAAGTCAAATAATATAGACAGTAATATTGAAGTCAGCTTTGACCAATAGTTAATATTAGGTGTTTTTTTATTCTTTACCATAAAAAAAAACAAAGAAAAGTTAAATCAAAAGAGAAACAAAAGTATTCACAAACATAATTACTTACATTCTTTAGAGTACTCTATAGTTGGGAAATTAAATCCTTCACATACTTTTTTATCTATTTGTAGTTGTTTATTAAAACAAGTATAAACAAAAATAAGTAAATACTAAAATGTATAATAAGTGTAAAAAGATTACAATATATATCTAGGCAATAATAATACCATAAACAAATTCAATTTATTATTTATTCCAAATATATATATATATATATATATATATATATATATATATCCTTTTTTTGGTATAGTATTTCACCGTTAATATAAAACTTTAATAGTTTTTTTAATTAAAATAATTAAAATAGCAATAAGTATTGCATAAGTCAATGACCTCCAGTTACTTTAACTCTTTTAAGTCTGAGCTTGTTGCAGGAATCATTGATTGCAAAATGATTATAGGCAGCTTTCATTGCACGAACACCAGTTAGACAAAATAACCATTCATATTTTACCTAACAAGATGGAATAAATGCCTCTGCTTCAACGCTGTTTAAAAAAAAAACAACTAAATCCCAAGATTGTTAGGCCATTATAAGAGATTATCTAAACAGGCAGCATTTGTTTTATTTACACACACACACACACACACACACAGATATATATATATATATATATATATATATATATATATATATATATATATATATATATATATATATATATATATATATATATTTATATATATGTGTATATGTGTGTGTGTGTGTGTGTGTGTGTGTGAACAACAAATTCAAAAGAATTCATCCATTTAATGAGATAATGCACTTCATTACTACTTTCGCCTGGAAGGTCTAACTCTTGTGTAACAGAAAGTTTATGTAATGATTGGCCTGTCTCCTCCTGAAGAATTTTCCAACGAACTGGGCTGCTGCTGAACAAATTGTATAGCTTTTGAATATTTCCAAAATAGGATTTTGCAGGAGCCAATGATTCAATAGCGTGTACTGCACATAAGTTCAAACTGTTAGCAGAGCAAGGAATGAAAATTGCTTGTGGATTGTTCTGACTTATCAAAGCTTGAACTCCATTGTAAATACCTGCCATATTAGCGCCGTTTTCATGGCCTTGACCACGACAATTTTTTATGTCGAGCTCATTCTCTTCCAACACATTCAATATTAACTTTGTTATATCAGATCTTTTCTTCTTTTCAAGTTCTTCTAGCTTAAGGAATCTTACTTTGACCTCCCACAGCTGATTATCATTGAAATGCATAAAACGAAAAACAAAAGTTATTTGCTCGCTGTGAGACGAATTGGGAGTGCTGTCCGTGATGATGGTGAAATATATTGATTTATTGATTTCTCGAATAACTTCTGGAACCACTAATTTGCCGCATTTCTTGATAAATTCATTTTATTATTTCCAAGATAATAATGAACTTGCATGCGTTTTTCTTCTTCTTGGTGCTTAGCAATAAGATGAATATGATCTTGTAATGTTTTGTTGTGGCGAGCAATTAATTCGAGCGCTCCAAGGAAGTTTCAATTCCCATTTTTGAACAACTTTTGATTGGATCCTAATTACAAACAAAAAATAATCAAAATAGTAATCCATATTTATATCCAATTAAAACTTGTAAATTTGATTTTTAAATTACAAATAAAATAATGCAAAATATAATTTAAAATTCAAAAACAATATTCTTACCCCTAAAAGCTAAGTTTCTTGAAGCTAAAAAATTGTGACGTCAAGAATGCATTGTAAAATTACTTTTCATTGCTTTGTTTCATCTCCAAGTGAATCGTAGCTGTTTTCCATAGGAGATAACATTTACGGTGAAAATTGCTTTGTTGATGACTTTTAACGCGATCTGAAAGTTTTCTCCAATTTCCATCTATACCTCCATTCCAAGACAACAAACTGGATTGAACACCGGGTCTGGTTAAGTTAGGCGATATAAAAAGGGAGCAAGGGAAACAAAAGAGTGATGCCACAGCCTTACTCCAAACGAGCCAATCTCTTTTAACTTTTTCTCCGTTTCTTTGTTCCTCTAAAAAGATATAAGTAGGGAATTTGCGTTCTTTTTGATCTCTTGGAAAAATGCTAGGATTTGAAGAAGGTCCCATCAGAATTATATTCGTTTGTTCAGTGTCTGATATTGATTTCCATAGTGCAGGATTGTTAGAGATTGGTATAGAAATATCACTTTTATAAATTTGGCGGTCATTGTGACAATCAAGTACAAAATCCAACTGATCCTTTTTAAAATGTGATGATGTTTTTTAGGAGTCATCGATGTCATCGGCAAGAAAAAGTTTTTTGAATTATGGTCTGGCAACTCATTAGAGTCATTGATACCGATCTCAATATCATTGAACTATAAAGAAGTATTAAACAGAATTATTCTAATTATTTTTTCATGAACGTCACAAGATTAAAAAATTGTTTAACTACCTGCTTGCATTAATCTTCGATTTTTGTCCAACGAACGCAATCTAAAAGCGTTTGTTTGTTTTTGCTTTCGTTTTTTTTTCCGAATCATCGCTCTTTTTTTCCCAGCAGCTCCAGACAGCTGTTTCAATCGTGGAGGTCTTTGATTATTCATGCTAAAACTTATGACAATATAAAGAATTTTAACTTTTTAAATTTTAAAAATTCAAAACTTTGTAATACTTTAGTGTTATTAATTGCAGAGAAAAAGTCAGTACTTACAATTAAAATATCCACTGAAGATAAGTTTCTTGTCAAAATATAGTCGAAACAAAATGCAAGCGAGTCAAAAACATACATACGCACAAAAGTATCCACAAGGACGCAAGGTTTAAGCAAAAATAAGTTAACCTATCAGAAGTCAGGCTTTTACAAACGTTAAATAAGGAAAAAAAAATTTTTAACGCCTTTTATTTTATCATGCGAACAAAAGGCCAATGAAAACGCGTGCGTTCAAATGGATAATAAAAACCTTGTAAAGTAATAATTATCCTATTTTAAATGCAAACAAAGTTTAAAAGGAAAAAGAAATTAATACACAAAAGTTGCTTAATCTTTAAATACGTTATCAGCTAAATTTTTTATCATTTCAATAATGTTTTTTTAAGGCATGTGATGCCCCATAGACTGTGATGTCCGGGGCAAACTACTTCAATTGCCCCCCTCTTGGCGGCCCTGTATATATATATATATATATATATATATATATATATATATATATATATATATATATAAATATATATATATATATATATATATATATATATATATATATATATATATATATATATATATATACATATATATACATATACATATATATACATATACATATGTATATATATATATATATATATATATATATATATATATATATATATATATATATATATATATATATATATATATATATATATATATATATATATATATATGTAAATATGTATGTATGTATATATATATCTATATATATATATATATATCTATATATATATATATATATATATATATATATCTATATATATATATATATATATATATATATATATATATATATATATATATATATATATATATATATATATATATATATAATATGTATATATACATATATATGTATATATATATACATATATATGTATATATATATGTATGTGTATATATATATATATATATATATATATATATATATATATATATATATATATATATATATACACACACAAACATATATATATATAAATTATTTATATATTTATTTATTTTTACTTTTTAAATTTAATAATGATCATTCTAATTCAAGAACATTTGCTATCGGACTGCGAATGATACAAGTTTTATTTTTTGATTTATATTCTGTATCTAAATTATACGCTAGCCTATCGATACGATATCCTGTAAATCCATTAACACACATAAATCTTTAAAAAAATGTTTATATTTTTATCTATATATCTATAAATTGTATATTTTATATAAATAATTTGTAAATTTTAAAATATTTCATTGCATAATACTGTTTAAATTAAAAAATGATTTTAGAAATGTTACAAGTACAGAGTTCAACATACAATTTAGTTTTATTTGCCAATTCAATATATATATTAGCCTAGTTTAATTACATTTAATAACATTTTGCGATATTTTCTCCAGCACATTTAAGCGCTGATTCAACGTTATATTTCAACCTTTACTCGACGTCTTTGAATCACGTTAAGTCGACGTTTTACTGCCAACGTTAAAAATCCTTGCAAAATCGACTGCTTTAACAACGTTACAGTAACGCTTTTCAAGTAACTTTTTGTCAAACGTTAAATTGCGACGCTTATGCAACGCTTTTTAAGTAACCCTTTTTCAACGTTTAGTTGCGACATTTTTGTAACGTCTTTTAGTAACGTTTTTTCAACGTTACGCGATAACGTTTAATCAACGTCTCTTTAACAACGTTACATATCTTTGCAAAATCGATTACTTTGTCAACTTTTCCGCAACATCTTTTGCGACCGGTTTTCAACGTTGATTCAGCGCTGTCATGTTTGCTGGGGCACTATAGAAAGTTAACCATTAAACTAAATATTTATGACCGATACTAATTGAACACGATTTGAGTTTATTTTGGTCAGCGTTAAACACTGACCAAAAAAAACTATTTTGGTTACAAAAAGTTCTAGGACGTTCAAAACGAACACAGCTCGCACACCACGTTTTTTTAACGTTGATTTACGGCTGATTTTTAGTCGCGACGTCATATAACCAAAAATCAACATTTCATTAACGTTGAAAGTTCGTTTAAAACCATCAAATAAACTCGACCTTGATTCCACGTCAATTAAACGTCTATATTACAAGTTCGATCGTTTTTATTGGATTTTGAGAACTCAAATACGCATGCGTGACTTTACTAGTTTTATACTAGGTTTTTTTATAAGGTGATGAATTTGACAATATATCAATATATTACATAAATTAACATGTGATGCAGTTAGTTAGATAAATATTATTAGATATTTTTTTATAACGGTAATATTTCATGAGTGTGGATTATATATATATATATATATATATATATATATATATATATATATATATATATATATATATATATATATATATATATATATATATATATATATATATATATATATATATATATATATATATATATATATATATATATATATATATATATATATATATATATATATATATGTATATATATATATATTATTATTATTATTATTATTGTTAATATTAATAATAATAATAATATTAATATTAATATATTATTATTATTATTATTATTATTATTATTATTATTATTATTATTATTATTATTAATATTAATAACAATAATGATTTTACTACACAATACATTAAATTTATATCATATATTATATGTATATATACATACATTTATACAAAATTTTTGAAAAATTCTATGAATTCTTTAAAAAATATTGCGCAAAAAGATGAAAATTTTTTTGACAAGTTTATGCAACGTTTTTTGTGGTTTAGTATGAACATAAGATTAATTGAATGTTTTGTACATACACATGCAATACCAAGAAAAAGTACTATCGGAGTCGGAGTCGCGATATTTTTTAGCGACTCCAACTCCGCTAATATTGTTGCAGCTCTGCAACTCCGACTCCGACTGCATATATATATATATATATATATATATATATATATATATATATATATATATATATATATATATATATATATATATATATATATATATATATATTTATATATATATATATATATATATATATATATATATATATATATATATATATATATATATATATATATGTATATATATATATATATATATATATATATATATATATATATATATCTTCTATATAATATTGCCAAACTTAATAGTATTAGTGTCCCTTGGAGCGTATTTGACACGAAACCCTTAGCAGCCATTGCAACCGAGGTATTGGCAAGAAAGAGTCGCAGCACTATAAGATTACGTGAACGAATATCTAACATGCGTAAACTTTAAACTAAGTAATGTTAAAGCATATGTTAAAACATACTGAAACATTTATCATGTTTTACAGTTTGATTTTTACTTGAAAATTACATTGCGTCAACCTTTCCTTATTTTTGATCAAACATTTTTTTCCTCAAAAAAATTACTACATTTTTATAAAATCTACTCTTTATGATATGCCGGTGTAGCTTTGCGAACTTCTGAACAAGGAACTAGTGGTTCGACTCTTACCAATGGCGGCTATTTTTTTAAATTTTTTAAATTATTTTAAAATACAAAATACTTTCGAAGTTTTATAAAGATTATATACAAGCATATGTAACGTAACGATGTTATGCACTCACAAAAGAAAAGATTTTAAGAAAGCTAAAACTTCATAAAACATTAAAAAAAACAAAAAACATCACCAGGAGAAAAAATATGTTGCGTATCTATGATAATTGAGACACTTATATTATTAATGTGCTCATGTAATTAGTCCTAATAAGCTGCGGATGGTCTGAAAAAAAAGTTGTCTGAAACTTAATAAAGAAAAAACTTAACAAGACAGCCCTGCTACTTCAGAAGATGCTGCTGTGGAAGCAAAAAAAAAAAAAGCCTGTAGCTAGATAAAACTTTAAAACTTTCTTTTGACAATTAAAAGTTTATTTTGCTACATTAACTTTTTTACTATAAATATATGCAGCAACTGTTTTTCAAAACGCCTTAATATGCTTATGAAGTAATTCAAAAAAAAACGCAATTAAAAATAAAATTGTTTGGAAAAACTCTTCGTAAAACGTTTTTTGAAACGAATAACTTTTATTTAGTTTTTTTTTTTCTTTTGTGCAACTTTTTTTCAATAAATTTCATTACCTTTCAGAATATAACCATTTTTAACAATGCTATAGAAAAAATATCAGTAAATTGATTAGTAGTATTTCAATTATATTAATTAGATTAAATTATATATTATATATATTAAATTAAATAGATAAATAAATTGATATACAGTTAACACATGTGTATTTTTTTTTTTTGAAAAAACTTAGTGTCAAAATAGACTAATTAGATAAGTCGTTAATTAGAATGCTAAGAATATATTTATGGCGGTTATTGTTGTTAAGGGTGATTAATAGGCAAATA